ATAGAATCTTAAAAGTGTAGTCATGCCTTGTTTCTTTGATGGCATTTACAAAATAAATCACAAGCCATTCTTCTTTTAACATTATTAATCAATGGTAACAAAACTTTAGACGAGTATGATATTATTCAAATAACAAATAACATTCTCACAAGCTCCTGATTATGTCCATACCATTACCAAGAACTAAAGGATCCTAACTCATACAGGAGCACTAGTCCCAGTTCTATAAAAACCCAAGATGTTCCATAGTCAATTATTTTAGTAAATTTGTTATTGTACTTATAAAACCTTCTGATTATAGAAACTAACCACTAAGAGATTAGAATAAGGGAACAATATTTCCCTCAACTTCCTGTCAACTCCAGACAGAGTGTTATGTCAAACTGCAAACTGCATTGAGCCAGACTTAAAGTCCGCCAGGTTTTGGTTAAGGACACCTGGAGTTAAACTCAGAAACAGTCAGTCATTAGTCCTGGCAAGTTCCAACAATCAGTTTAAGATATGACTATAATCCTTTTCTTATGTCTCATGCTGACTACTTCCTTTGATCATAGATACTTACTATAGGAGGAAAAAGGAGCAGGGAGAGGTAACGTATCAACTGTGACAGGATAAAACATCCTTAGCTCTGTTTAAATTCAGATAGAGTCACAGTTCTCCAATCATACAGTATCTGTTTCTCCTCAGGAATAGTCAGGTGGGAAACATTCCTTTCCAAAGGAACGCAGTGGGGAAACTGAGCCAGGAGGATCCCATCCTGGATTGAGGCTAAGATTGTCCCCTCGGCCTTTTTCCCAAATAAATCACATTTCCTCTAAATAGATCTCCACCTGTTCTTGTGGCATTTCTCTCAGATACTGATTCAATGCAGACAACTATACCCAAATTTAAACTCAAAACAAAATTAGTTATAGTCCCAAGAGCCTTTTACCTCAAACAGCAAGTCTCACTAATCACAGATTAAAGCCAGATGCAGTTACATTCACTCTCATGGAGTTGCAATAAGCGATATAGATTTACCAGGACTCATACATAAGAAATGTCACTTTACATCTTTCCTTCTCAAATTTAAACTTGCCCTGGTGTAAAAGCCAATCATTAGAAATCATTTCTATCTATGTACATAACCTTGCAACTTCTCAGCAAGTTAAGTTCATTGTCTAGGAACTGCATAATCCTAACAAGTTCTTTTCTCAGGGCAGTTGACCTTCCCCACACAGATACAGTAATCAATTATCCCTCTTAGGTTTTAGCATTAAAATAGTAATCCCAAACAACTTAGTTAAAAATCTCACAAATTTCATAAATGATAAAACAATTTTAACTGAAAATTCCCTTTAAAGACAAAATTTGGAAATTTTATGATTTCTTAAATCCCCAACAACCAGATTCATTCCTTTTTCCCTTTTCTCTGAAGACACAATTAATTTAACATTCCAGATTATAAAAGAAATTGCCCTTCCAGCAACATAACTAATATACTTGAAAACAGGCTCAATAAAAAAACCTTTCTTTCTAGACCCCTTCGCTAGGTTCAGCAGTCTCCTGGAGCCACGTAGTTGATAAAGTTCTTAATGCCACATAACAATATGTGCTCTTAAAATTATACAAATACACATTTCTAAGTTCAATACCGTTGGCCCTTTATAAGGGGATATTATCCACATTCATGTCCACATTTTCTTGCGAAAGTTTTACAAACAGTTTGAAATCTCCTATTGTAATCAGGTCAGTTTAAAAATGTACTGGACCAGTATTCTAACTACTTCTTTTTGCTTTCCCTCCAGGTAGGCACCTCTGGAGCTTAATAATCATAACTCACAATAACCAATATGGCATCCTCCCAGGGTGGGGAACTTAAGACCCCCCACCCAAGTTACGCTCACCAAGACTACTACGCCGCTTTCTTTTTGCATTTCTGAAGGGAGATACTTGAATAGGGCTGTCCCTCCCTCTTTCTCTTCCCAAATTGCCTTTACAACTTTGCTGTGCATTCTAAACAAGTCACTCGTCTTACGCTATTCTTCCACTGTTCTTTAGTTTCTTTCTATTTACTTTAGTGCCAAACAGTATAATCAATTCTGACTTAAGCATTAAATTAAGAGCATCACATTTCATCTGAAATATTACCAGAATGAATTAAATTGCCTTTGGTTGTGTTCTGGTACATAAAAACTTTTCCCTTTAATGAGAGGCAGAAAAGATTAAGTGCTACACCTCTCTTTTTTATCTGAGGGGGAAAAGTTCCCTTTTTCTCTCTTTGTCTCCACACTCAAATTTGGCCAGAATTAGAATGCAGAGAGAGAGAAATTATTATTATTTTTTCTTTTTTTTCTTTTTAATCTTCCCACAGTATTATAAGAAGCAGACATAGATAGATACCTCCACAGGAACAGTTTGATGATTTTGGATAGTTTTATAATAGGTCTCATTAATCTTTGTTTTCTGTTTATACTCTGCCCCTTTGTAAATTCACCCCCTAGAATCTTTTTTTCCATTTTAAAAATGTTTCATTGATGTATTTTATTTTTTAATCATCTGTAGTTTCCCTCAGCATCCCTCCTCTTCCCATAGATCCATCCTGTAAAACATAATATTTTTTAAAGACAAAAAAAGAATGAGGAAAAGTCAGTGTAACTCGTCAGTGCCTTGAAAAAGGTCTGAAAACATTGCAGCCCTTGTGGGTCTCTCGCCTTTTAAGCCGTGAGGTAGCTAGGAAGGGTCTTCTTGACTATTTTTTTAAGACATTCTTGTTCTTTATAATTTTTCCGTATTTGCTTTTGGCTTTTTAATCGTTTTTAGGTTTACTTCGTAGTCATCCCATGGTGTCTTCTGTATTCTTGGCTTTGCTTCATTCCCTCTGGGCAGCTGAGGGAGATCTTTTGTGTGCTTCTCCATATTCATCACATTTGTTATTTCGTACATGTTAGTCATCTTCCTTCATGTTCATGCACCACTGTCTGGTTAGCCCATACCTAATCAGGGAGCGTCTACTCTGTTTCCAGTTCTTTGCTGCTCCAAATGTTTTGGTGTATATGAGGATTTCTTATTGGGGGTGTCCTTGGAGTGTAAGACTAGTAATGGACTCTGTGGATCAAAGAGTATGAACATTTTAGTCATTTTATTTGCATAATTCTAAGTGATTTTCCAAATTGGTTTTACTGATTCACAGCTGCACCAACAATGTGCCAGTGCCGGTTGTGCCACAGCTTCTCTACCATTGACTCTTTTCATCTTTGCCAGTTTGTAGAGTGTGAGGTCTGAGACCTCAGTGTCATTTTGATGTGCCTATCTCTTGTTATTAGTGAGTTGGAGCATTCTTTCCTGTGGTTGTGAGGAGTTTGCAATTCTTTGAGAACTGTTTGTGCACACCTTGTGACCACTGTCTGTTGGTATTCCTAGTATCTTAACAGTAACTGCTTTCTTCAGTAATTGTGACCATCCTGAATATCCTCAGTCCTTCCTTAGAGACAAAGCCAGGACCTCTTCTGGCCTTGGTTTTTTTAGGCCCAGTATCTTTGAAAACTTCCCATGACCACTTTTGCACAACTGCCCTCCGTTTCTTCCCCTCAGTGTTAGTTGTTTCAAAACCAGCACTCTGGATGTCATCCACTTTAGTGCTTAAGAAGAAAGAGATTCAAAATTTATTTTCACAGTCTCTGTGTAAGCAACATACATTTAGAGCCTTGTTCACCTTCTCTCATTTCAAACACATCAACATAACCATCATTCAGAATACTTTAAAATCCCCACTATGTGGAGAGGGGACGGTGAGGGAGATCCAAAGACCTGGTATGCCAGTACAATCATAATACACAATATTGCCTGATTTGTCTGTTAGGTCTAAAAGTGGCTTGTGGTGAGTCTGATTGAGCTGTGGGGGGGTACAGTTGAGGGAAGCCTTGATAGAGGAAGTGCAGTTTGTGTTGGGCTTTAAAGGTAGGGAAAACATTTTATGTGTATGCATGAGGTAAGAGAGGGAGGTGGGAAAAAATAGGACTTGTTTGAGGAAATTTTGGTTAAATTTGGCTAGATTAAAACTATTACTTTTAATTGTGGCATTTTAAATTCAGTGCACATTTTTAAAAGTGCCAACTGGGTTACAAAGACAGGAACAAAACAGGCGCTACCCTCAAGAAATGTATATTCTTTTTTTGTCCAAGATATTTGTAAAGTGCTTAGCATTGTTTGTAGCTAATAATAGGCATTTAAAAAATCCCTCCCAGGATTAGAGTCTAGGTCTCTTGATTCCAGAACAAAGCTTTCCTACCATAGGTGCTTGAATGGTGAGGAGGAGCCCTTGGTAGCCTTGAGGTGCTGTGTTCTCTGTGTTGACCACTCCTCCAGTGCTGCCCAAACACTGGGCCTGAGGAGGTGATGCCTGTGGGTTTGAACAATGCCTCACAAGCCCTCTGTGCCAGAATTCCTTTTAGAAAGCAGCTTCAAAAGCTCTTCCTTTTCTTTTGTTGAGAACTTTTGGGAAAATTGTAATGAGGCATAAAAAGTCAGGTATAAATACATTTTTTAACATTCCCCCACAATTTATGAACAGTTCACAAATCACTTAATACATTAAATTCTATTTTATACTTTAGAATTGTCCTCTGTAGTAGATATTTTGTAATGATTCTGACAAGTAACATGGTTATCTCTGCTATTTGTTGGAGAAAGGCAACTTTTTGGCTTTTTTTAAACTATATTTTAGTCTTGTATCACATTTAACTTTCAAGGAAAATTGATATCATTTGGGGAAAGGAAAGTTCATGACACTGCCATATAGAAAATATAGGGGAAAAAAAGTCATTCCTAATTTCATTTTGGGAGAGTAGGAGACTGGTGATTTCTGATTAAATACCTTTTAAATTTGTCGGAGTGCTAAGTGCCATGTGGCATGATGTAGACAGGCATGTGTAAGGAGAATTCCAAGGGCTTTGGTGGTAAGTAGTGTGTGTGATGAACCTGACTGAATTCCATTTTTCTGCATCTCTCCCCCACCCTAGTCTTAACTTCAAGGACCCTGAAGCTGTCCGAGCTTTGACTTGCACTCTTTTAAAGGAGGACTTTGGACTTTCCATTGATATCCCATTGGAAAGGCTCATTCCTACAGTTCCACTGCGACTCAACTATATCCACTGGGTGGAAGATCTGATTGGCCCTTGGGATCCGGCCAGGAGTGCCCTCCGCCGAGGGATTGACATCGGTATCTCCTCTTCTCTTCGTTTCTTGCTTCGAGATTTCAAACAATGTTTCTTTACCAGCTTCTTTGCTGAGTATTTGTTAAAGAAATCGACCATTGAGATTTCTCTTCAGTCGGTGACACTTGGGCTTTTCTTACCATTGACTTCACTTAAGCAACCATACAGAGATTCTAGAACAAAAGCCTTGAGATTGAAGATGAGAAACTTGGGGGTTTCTCTACTTTTTCATTTTCCTTATTGGTTTGAACATTTATTATCTTTTACTATGTTCTTGGGATTTGGATTCACTGAAAGAAGTCCAGTTGGATTTTAGCTAGTTGTGCATTTACCGAAATATTGCCTGGGCCTGTAAAGTAACCTTTCAGGACTCTCTGGATGATTGTTTGTATAGAATGTTTGAATTGAAGTAGAACTAGTAGAATTATAGTACATAAAATAAGCTTTGCTTAATTGCTTTATGAGCATTTTATAAGCGTTTGCATTTCAGAAGACCTCCAGGGTGGATTAGTTTCAGGAAGAAGTAGTAAAGGGAAATAAAGATATGGTAAATATTTTGTCCATTTGTCATCTCCAGCCTATTCCACTAATTTATCTTTTTCTCCTTTAACTTGTTCTGGTCCTTATAGGAAAGCTTGATTAAAGAACTTTAAAATTCTATTTTCCAATGTAGAATTGCTATTGGAAATCAGTCTCTGAAGGGCAAGTGGTTCTTATCTTGTTAACTTTGAAATAGGGTTACATTAAGCCAAGTGGATGTGCCACATTCATTATAGGAAGGAGGCTGACTTCCTAAATTTGTAGCAAACTTGAAGATCTTGGCCTCTGGGTTTGATTTTCACTATGTCGCAGATCCTCTCAGGATGTTGTGAGGGAACACCTGTAGGATGTTTTTTTTAGCTATTTTTATAAAACATGTTGTGAGGGCCAGGGTGGGGACGATATGGAAGGGGGCCGCTTTGGTGGAATCAGATTTGGTCTAATTAAGTTCCTATAATCTCTGAGGAAAAAGTGAATATAATTATTAAGAGAGGAAATGTAGACTTCAGCCATTTGTTACGTGTTTACCCATACTCATCAAGCAGAGGTTGCTCTAATTCTGCAGATAGAGACTTGCTATTTGTTATTCCCTCTCTTTCCCCTTTGTTGCCTCCATTTATCCCCTCCATAATTCATTTCAACTTTGTGGGATGGCTTAGAATATAAAGCTCTAATATGAAGACTCAAGATATCTAATATTATGTTTGTCTTTACATTTGTATTTACTGTTGCAGAAACTCCTATATTTGTTTTTTTAATGGAGGGGAGAAGTTACTAAAAAGATGCACACTTAAGGCCATTTTTGTAATTTATTCCTTAGCCTTTTGATTTTTTTCTTTGTGAGAACTAAAGTATAAAGGGACCTTGTACAGACCTTTATACCTTATTGCTGCTCTGAAGGGATTGGGATTAATGACTGCTAGTCATCTAGACATTTGATGCATTTGGCCTGGATTGATTTTTCTGAACCAAAGATCTTATCTTTTCCAATTCTAAATGATTTTAGATTTTTTGGAGTCTGGTGGCCACTAGACAAGTTCTATTTTATTTTTACAGATTATTTCTTTTCCTTCAGCCATGTATTAGCCAGACTGGGGAGCTAGGTGGTCTTCATTTCACAAAAAGAATATATACATTGGAAGATACTTGGTTTTATTTGGGGAGTGAAATTTATGTTCATCTGGTTTGTGGTATTTGACCACTGTGGTATTTTAACAGATACTTTATCATTGATTTCCTTTATGGAAACGAAGTAATTGTGAAAGTATAGCCCTTTTGTAAATCAACTTAATCTTTTTGAGTTTTTAGCTTTTTCAGTCAGCCACCAGGTTATTTATGGAGTGCCTACTATGTACTCTGAACTGTGAGAGAGGTACAAACCAGAAGACTGGGCTGTAGCCAAGTGGATATGTATACAGTTTTGTTAAGGAAATAAAATTAATGTCTACAGACAATTAAAGAATAAACAAGACATATTTTACTATTAAGTGTTGACTTGTATAAGTGCTTTAGAAGTTCAAAGAAGGAAATAATTGTTTACTCCAATGATTTTGTGTGTGTATGTGTGTGTGTGTGTGTGTGTGTGTGTGTGTGTATGTATGTATGTTGTATGTGTGTTGAATTTTTATTTTGGTAGGTACAGGAGCATCTTGCATCTATCCTTTACTTGGAGCAACTCTCAATGGCTGGTATTTCCTTGCAACAGAAGTGGATGATATGTGCTTTAATTATGCTAAGAAAAATGTGGAACAGAATAATTTATCTGATCTCATAAAAGGTATACGCCACAGAACAAATATCCTTTTTTCTTTTAAAAAAACATCATTCAGTGCACCTTGTGTGCACCTTTAGCTTTTGTTCAAAGGTTAATGGAAATGTTTGGGTTTTACCAAGGTGCAGGCTTGAGTGACTCCTGTTCCCAGACTGTAGCCACCCTGCTTTTTAGCCACCTAGAGAGGGCTATGGGATATGTGAAGGAGCTTCACCCAGCCCAAGCCCTGTGACTGTTTGAACTGGCCCTCTTTTTGAGTTTCAGTGACTACTGATTGAGCAACCACAGAGTGCATGGACCTGTGCTAGATTGAAGCATAAACCCCTAGAGATGCCTGAGGTATCTTTTTCCTCCTCTACCTGCTGTATGTGTTAAAGGCTGTTAATATTCTTTTCCTTTTGTTCCAGGGACCTAAAGTCTCTTTTGTATAAACTGAGGGTACTTTTTTTGTAGTGTTAAACATATGATAAGCGGAGACATTAAGCATGTTAATGAATCAATAGTGAGTTAATTGTTGCTCCATATCTTAAACATCCTGCTTTTTCTGCCAGTGGTTAAAGTACCACAGAAGACACTCCTAATGGATGCTCTTAAAGAGGAATCTGAGATCATTTATGATTTTTGCATGTGCAACCCTCCCTTTTTTGCCAACCAGTTGGAAGCCAAGGTAGAGTATCTGCTGCTCTAGAGAAACTGAATGTTTGTCTGGATTTGCCATATTTGACCGGGTGGGATAGCGGTGAGCACAGTGTTTGCTGAGGAAGTGGGTGCATCAGGTGCAGCATTTCACTGTGAAACTTTGTACAGTACAGTGCTTTCCCAAGGTTAGTTGTTGGATAGACAGTGGCTCGTGTACACTGATAGACTTGCTGTACTGCTGGAAATAGAGCTGACTCCTGGGGGCTGGGGGCTGGCTGTGGGGGGAGAGCTTCTCAGAGTTTGGGTTTTTTTCCCTAGTCGTCTTGTTGCAGAGCTGAAAGAGGACCATAGCAAGACTTTTAATGGCGGCTCAAAGTAGCTCAGAGTGTAGAAGTAGAGAATCACCCTTAACGTGCACTGTTTCATATTATTGTTGGAAATAGAGTCTGTATAGTGGAGCAGAGAAGCAGCTCTCACCACCACCTGCTGCACCTGTCATAGTTGGGAACATTGTTAATTGAGTCTTTTTTTCCCTTCAAAAGCAATTTTCCAAGCAAATCAGCTTTGAAAGATGGACAGTAAGAAGGGATGCCCAAAAAACCCCCAGTACAGTAAAAGTCCACTAATTCAGTTGCTTATCCGATTATTCTGTCAGATTCTAAATAAAATGAGATACTTGTAAAGCATGTTTCGTAGTGCCTGACATGTAGTAGGCACTATTCAAATGCTAGCTGCTATCATTATTATTATTATTCTGAAGTAGTAAAATAATAAGTCCTTAAATTATTTGTGAGAACAAATTCTACCTTAAATGGATAATTTAGAAACAAAGAATATTGCATTTGCAAATCATGCCTGTCAATTAATCTGTTGGGACTTCTGTTAGACATCATTATAGTGTGATTTACTGTATGTACTTAGAAAAGAAAAAAATGGAATCTTTAAAAAATCTGTCATTCAGACCAGCTTACTGTAGTTAGTCTGAATTAATGAGGTTTTATTTATGAAAATCCAAATGAATATTAGAATGGTTATTTTCAAAAGATTCACTGAAATTTTTCTTAAAATAGTTGATTTAGAGAATACTTTCTACCAAAAATTGACTTAGAATAAAATGATTCCTCTTTTCAGGAAAATATGTTGAGGATAGCTCTACATTTTAGAAGCATTAAAGTATATTGTAGTGACATTTTCCTGAAATATCAGTTGTGAATCCACTGAAAGTTGTTGGGACTGAGTTAGTAGTAGATTGTAGATTAGTAGATTGTGCCTATTTTAACACTTGTTCTTAAATAAATCCTTGTTGAATTAATTGATGATTGCTAGGTTCATTAAGTTTGTATGATACAATGAAAAGGAGTAGTTTGGCCAGCCAAGCGATATAGTGGGACTGTATTTACTTTTTTGCTCCCTAAGTTAATGCCTAGTAAGGGCATAAGTAAAGAAATATTAAGTAAAGTTAAATGATCTGGGTGGAAAATAGAGGAGTTAACTCAGATGCAGTTGACTTATTGCCTTACCTTTGTGTCCATATAGCCCTGCCACAGGGCCTCAAACAAAGTAAGTGCTCAATAAGATATTTATTAAATGAATGAATGAATGAATGAATGAGAGGGTCACTAACCATTTTATCAGGTTGATCTAGCTATCTATCTCTATCTTCTCTGTTTGTACATGTGTACCTATATACACACATGTGGACGTTTTTGTCCAGACCTTGATTCTGTCTGTGTGGGGACCTCCCATTGTGGAAGCTCCTTCTACCAATGCAAATAGACAAGTAATCTATAATTGTTGCAGAGAGTGTCTGTACTGAGAAGTTAAAGTGGCTCCCAGTGGTTATATACTTGATGTGTGCCAGAATCAGAGCTTGAACCCAGAGCTTTCTCATTCTTAGGCAGTCCCTTTAATTTCCCTAAAACATAATGCTGCTGCTTCCTTTTTTTTTTTTAAGGCACTTGGGGTTAAGTGACTTGCCCAGGGTCACCCAGCTAGTAAGTGTTAAGTGTTTAGTCTGAGGCCAGATTTGAACTCAGGTCCTCCTGACTTCAGGGCCGGTGCTCTATATACTGCACCACCTACCTGCCCCAAACATAATGCTTCTTGAGATAGATGCCTTCAAATTCATTATTTTTCTACTTTACCATGCTCCCACTGGTATGTTTAAAAAAAAAAGGCATTTAAAACCAAGGAACCAGAATTTAAAACCTAGCTCTGTCACATAATACCTATGTAACTGTTGTGCAAATCATTTCCTCCCTCCTGTTCTTTGGAGATCATTTCTCTGTCTCTAAAGTGAAGGGTTGACCTAGATAACCCTCAGGGTTCCTTATGGCTTTTGAGCCTGTGTTGAAAAAGGCAGATAAGTTTAGTGTGAGGTTTTAGAAAGCTTGCTAATGGAGGGGGATGCTTTGGAGCAAGGATATGTACAAGTACCTAGTTGAGGAGTCTGAAATACCTTTTTTTTCTCTCTAGGGAGTAAACTCTCGAAATCCTCGTAGGCCTCCCCCAAGTTCTGTAAACACTGGGGGTATCACTGAAATCATGGCAGAAGGAGGGGAATTAGAGTTTGTCAAAAGAATTATCCATGACAGTTTGCAGCTGAAGAAAAGACTGAGGTAAGTAGGTCCTCACAGAATCCAGTTTCCTTTTCTTTCTCTCTCATGGTGGCCTGAAAAATAACAAATGGAAAATAAGAACATCTGATGAGACTTCTGCTCCTGGGGGGACTTGTGCCTTTAGCCACTGATCCTGCACATCCCCTGAGGGAGAAATGGCCCACGATCCGTGCTGCTGACACCAGCATTGCACTGCTGTGGAGCCAAACTGATTAAAAGATGGCTCTTGATTAGTAAACAGATGGACTCATCTCTTCCCCATGAGCCAAAATAGATTTGTTGCCCAGTCCTTGAAGCAATTTGTGTTCTTGGAATCGAACTCGCAAACAGTGACAGATGTGAGGACATTGAGCTGTCAAGAACTTAATGAAGGGAAACTGAGATCCCTCGCCAGTTTCGTAGGAGGGTTAAGGAGATCCCTTTTTCTAAGCTAATTGTTGTGGACAGCACACCTGTCATTAGGCAGTGAGAAGATATTCACAAAGAACCTTTTGCATTGCTTGGATTCTCACCCCCTGCCACATGTGTTTGAAATGACAGACAGTGCAGGGCTCCCAACACCATGGCATAGCTGCAGGGGTGAGGAAGGGAGACCCTTTCCCCATTTTCTTTTCAAAGGTAGTGATGCCCTTTGATTTCATCACATTCAGTTCTGTGTATGGAGCTCTTACCCTCTCCATTGAGTTTGTCCTTGTGACAAAGACTTTGAAAGAAAAAGGAAAAATGAAGAAGAATAATGAGCTAGACTGCCCACTGCCTGCCTTGGACATCAGTCAGCTTGGTGGGTGCAAACCCATGCCATAATCTCACCCTCTTTGAAGAAGGGAAGGAGGGACATGGTCTCAATTCTTGAGGGCAAAACTCTGCTCATTATAATTATACAGCATTCGGTTTTCTTTCCATTTCCATTGTCACGGTCATTATATGTTATTGTCTGTGATGAAAAGTCTTTCCTTGCTTCTCTGAGTTCTTCATATTTCATTATATTCATACCCTATAGTTGGTTGAGCCATTCTTGAATCAGTGGACAGCACCAGGTTTCATTCAGGTTTATTTAAAATTATTTCTGTTCAGCAGTATTAAATTCTGTTCCAGAGTCAACACATAATCTCATTAATTTCTCTAATATGAATTTCATTGAAATCCTCATGTAACATCATAGTAAGTCTATCACATAACATGGCCTAGGTGGTAGAAGAGAAGACTATGTACAGATAGATTGGGGTTGTTGATGCAAGAACATCATTAACTGGTATGTTCTGACACTGGGGAGAAACCAGCTAGAAGATACTAGTAGACCAATCAGAAACAGTAAGGGGCTTTGAAACACTGAAATCAGGTCGGCTGAGCCCTTGTTTCTATTTCTGTTCTCTTGTTAGGGGCTTCTAACGATGCTAGAATTTCAGATCCTTAAGTGAACCTAAGATAGCATTGATTTCCAGGTTCCCCTCAAAGTTACAGCTTACGTGCCTGTTCTCCATGGGTCCAGAATCCTGAAGGACAAAGGAGAATGTCATTGTAGAATGCCTGAACCGTATCCCACAGCGCTCAGCCTGCCCTGAGTGTGTAGGCCCTGGTCCTGTAAAGGTTGTTCCCAGGTTGCCACCTCATTCCAATGTTAAAACATCACTTTTTTGGGGGGAGGGTAATAAACGCAAAACCTTAAGAATGCTGATACAGCTTCCTGAGAACATCTGAAAGGTAGCACAGAGATTGAAGGAAAAGCAGAAATAGATATTTGGTTATGATTCTGGGCCCTGTAGCATCTTTGAAGAGTTTTTCAGAGTGAATTCTATGAAATCCAGTATATGAGAAGTTGGACACACTTACGTTTGTGAAGCTGACAGCTAGGTTTTCAGTATCTTCGTCTTTGTATGCACAAGCAGAGGTCAGTGATCTCTACCTAGGTCTCTCCTGGAAGCTTAAAAACAGGGGACCTCGGTGGGCCTAAAATATAGGTAGGAAAGAAGGAAAAAGGAAAATGGTGATGTCAGAGAGGAAGAAAAAGAGGGGAAGTTAAAGTTAGATCTGTATGATGGTGAGGACTAAGGGAGCCCCAGCAGCAGCAGCTTCAGACCCCACACACCAAAGCTCTTTTAAGTCAAGGAAGTGATTTTTGTGTTTTTGGGGGGGGGCTTTGGTTTTTGCTTTGCTTTTTTTGCGGTCGGGGTTAAGTGACTTGCCCAGGGTCACACAGCTACTAAGTGTCAAGTGTCTGAGGCTGGATTTGAACTCAGGTCCTCCTGACCCCAAGATCGGAACTCTAATGACTGCACAACCTAGCTGCCTCTAAAACCCTTAATTTTTAAAGGACTGGTGAAGGATGTGCCTATTCCAGGCATAGGACATGAGAAGATAGAGGAATAAAAAGTAGACCAGTATGGCTTGACCAAAGAGTGATACGTAAGGAGGAGTCGGGTTGAGTGCCCAACAGAAGACACAGTTTGGTCCTCGAGGAGATAGAGAGCCAGTGAACGTGGTGAAGGAGCGACTTGTTTGGCCTTGCACTTTTGGAGAATCTCTGTGGCAGTTGTGTGGAGGATGGGTTTGAAGCAAGGAGACAGATACGGTCAGAGTATGGTGGAGTGAGCATCCAGAGTATGTGTGGTTACTTCTTGGTCAATTACATGCGTGTACTTCTGTGCTAAAAATTATGTTTTTAAAAAACACACAAATGGAAATTAGAAAGGGTAAGATAAAGATGAAATAATATCTGCTCTTAGAGCCAGTGGGAACTGCTGGATTTTATTGATGGGCTGGTTTAGAAGCAAGGAAAAATGACCAGACCTCTGCTTTAGGAAAGGCACTTTGGCTAATGTGTGGAAGATAGATTGGGGCAGGGAGATGCCTGAGGCAAGAAGGCTACTACAAGGCTGTTAGAGAAAGCTGACAATGGTCTGAACTGGGGGGAGGGATGTGTGAGCAGAGAGGAGACGGGGGCAGGAGAGGGGGAGGGATGTGCGCTAGGAAGAATGAGAAGTCAAGGCCAGTCTGACCATCAGCAAGCATTTATTCATAGCTTATAGTTTCTGTGCTAAGCACAGGGAATACAAAAACAAATCCCTGCCTTCAAGGGAGCTTATGTTCTAATGGGGAAAGACAACATGCAAAAGGAAGCTGAAAAGGGGTGGTGGTGGAAGGATGGCGAGATGAAGGTATCCAGAGTAGAGGGCATTGTAGAGAAAGTCTGATAAGAGTCAGGAGTTCATGAAGGATTTTCTCCTTAAAATAAGAGATTCTGGGAGTAAGTGGCCAGTTAGAGGAAGAGAGGTTGCCCCAGTGGAGGGTCCTTCTAGTATGGGAGGTCCTTAAGTAGAGTGGGGTTTCAAGGCATTGTAGAGAATGTCTGGGTGAGTGGAAGGATAGTAGTCCCCTCACAATAATAAGGAAGTTTGGGAGGCACCTTTGAGGGGGAAAGATAATCAGATCTCTGGTCATCACAGCTTGTGCATGTGATTCACTCCCCCCCCCAAAATGGTAGGAAATAGAGCTCTTTGTCAGTCAGGGTTGCCCATTAGTGCATTAACCATGTCCAGAAAAAAATGTCTCCCTGTGCAGTGTGAGCCCCATCACATGCTCAGGCAGCAGGCTTCATTAGCAGTCTAGAGTCATGGTTGGTTAGTACATTGGCCAGCATTCTTAAGTCTTTCAAAGTGGTCTTTACACTGTTGTTCTTACTGTCTTTTCTTTCTTTCTTTTGGCTAGGCAGTACGGTTAAGTGACTTACTCAGGGTCACACAGCTAGTAAGTGTCAAGTGTCTGAGGCTGGATTTGAACTTGGGTCTTCCTGACTCCAGGGCCAGTGCTCTATCCACTGAGCTACCCAGCTGCCCCTGTTGTCTTAATTGTTCTGCTGGTTCTGCTCCCCTCTTCCTCAGTTCATACAAATTTTCCCAGGTTTTTCTGAAACCATCTTTTTCATTATTTCTTGTGACCCAGTAATATTCATAGACCATGATATGTTCAGCCATTCCGCAGTTGATGGGCACCTCTCCTTTGTTTCCAGAGAGCTGCATGAATATGTGTGTCTGTGTGCATCCTTTTCCTGTGATTTCTCTTGGGTCATAGGCCCAAGCGGTATTGCTGGGTCAAAGTGTATACACGCTTGAGTAGCTTTTTGGGCTTTGCTTTCCTGAATGGCTGTATTACTTCTCAGCTTCACCAGCGGTAGTAGTGGGCTTGTTTTCTCATAGCCCTTCCAGTGATTGGCATTTTCCTTTTATTTATTTATGTATGTATGTATGTATGTATGTATGTATGTATGTATGTATGTATTTATTTATTTAACCAACTTGGCTAGTATGATGGGTGTGAGCTCAAAGTAGAAGCTCAAAGTAACTTTAATCTGAATTTGGCTCATTATTAGTGATTTAGAACATTTTTTCACGTGGTTGTTGAGAGCTTGGATTTCTTCCTTTGAAAACTGCTTATTCATACCCTTTGACCATTTATCAGTTAGGGAATGACTGCTGTTATAAATTTGTAGCAGTTTCTTAAGTATCTTGGATATGAGGTACTTTTCAAGAAACGTGATGCAAAAATCTTTTTTCCCAATTACCTTTTTACCTTCTAATGACACAAATTTTTAATATTGCCTTTCAGTGACATTGATAAACTCTCAGTAAGTTAATCCTATTTACAGAATGTATTCAGAGGATGTGTTCTATTTCATTGTGGAATTAGAATTGCACAGATGTGTAAGGCCAAGGCTTTTGATTCCTTCGATCTTTGGCTTCCTAGACATTGGTGCTGAAAGGGACCTTAGGCCCTCCATGTAGCCCAGCCCCGCACATCAGTGCTTGTGATGGCTGGAGTCAGTTGAAGAATGTTTTTATAAACCTGCCGTGTACCTGGGGCAAGAATTTTAACATCCTGATGTCTGCAACATAGTTGGCTATGAAATAGCAGCAGGTTACCAGAGAGAAAGTGTGGGTTCACGAAGATGGGCCTCATTCATTTGGACTTTGTGACCCATTAGCCATCCATGCACTATGTATAATGTACGTGAGATCAGGCGGGTCAGGGACATCTGCTGTTACAGCAGTCTGCACGCTCACATTCAGGGAAGGGTAGAAGTGGTCTGGGTGGTAGATAAGACTGTCATGTGTTTTAGTGAATCGTGTGGCAGGCCTGTTACTGAAATGGAACGAGAAGTGCAAGAATCGCATCGTGGCAGTTTGTGTGCTCTGTGTTCTCAGGCCCTCGTTCTGTATCCGTCCGTAGAAGAGGTGGTCCACTGGCCAAGAGCACTGGGTCTGGAGGCAGGAAGACCTAGTTCTGTGACCCTGGGCAAATGATTTAACCTCTATGTTATCAGCTGCAAGTTGCAAAATGATAACACCTATTTTATAGGGTTAATGAGGGTCAAATGAAATAACATATAAAATGCTTTGCAAACCTTAAAGCACTATATAAATGCTGGCCATTTATTAAACTTGGTTCAGAAAGGAATAACTGAAAGAAATCAGGCTATAACATTATTTCACATGTCCTTTTTGTACAGAAATATTCTTTCTTAGGAAAACAGTTGACTTTCTTATAAGCTGAAAAGTTGTTTACTCTCTTTCCCCCTCTCCATTTAGGATAAGGTTTGTTAAAAGAAATACAGTCTTTGGAGTAGAGAACAGTTGTCCTGTGCTCACAAGCTGATGTAAGCAGTTGTCTTTCTTACACATACATACACACACTCTCACTCTCTCTCTCTCTCTCTCTCTCTTCTCTCTCTCTCTCTCTCTCTCTCTCTCTCTCTCTCAGCTTTCTTCTGCTCCTAACCTGAGGCTTCTGGGAATCCAGGAGATTGAGTTCCAGTCCTTGCTCTGCCATAATTACCTGCATAACTCTGGGCAGGTCACTTTGTCTCTCACGCTCCCCCCAAGAATACTAGAAAGCCTCTTGTGTTTTTGAGTTTTTGATTTTATTGGCAGCCGTTGTTGTCAAGGGAAAAATGGAAGGAGTTCCTCTGGTTTCCTCCTTTGCTTCCTCATCTGTAACAGAAGGGGTTCTCCTAGATGACCCCCGAGGTTCTTCCCAGCTCTAAACCTCTGAGCTTATGCTTCTGTGCCCTCGTTAACGATGGCTGTTTAGAAAAAGAGGGTTAACTGAGACATCCCGCACACCTCCCTGCTAATCTTTAGGAGGATGGACAGTTCTTAATTGCTTCTCCTCCTGATTTACTCAGGTTCTTCATTCTAAAGTCTTCCACCTTGCAACTTACTTTATTAAAGGAGTAACACCCTATTTCTTCATGTTTTGAACTTATAAGCAAGATGATACAGATTTCTTTACAAGTAGAACAGAATAACAGAAGTGCCTGTACACCAAGGACAAGCTAATATCTTTGTACCATTGATGTTGTTCAGCCTATGGAAGAGCAAAGGCAAGCAGTTTCAACAAAAACAAGTATCTGAGTACCTTGTCTGTGCAGACCACTGTCTTAGAGAATCTCCCATAAGTCATTAAACTACTTTTCTATCGCTAGTGATGCAAATAAAGTATTGTGCTTGCCACCAACTTAAAAATTTAAAGGTAAATTGCATTTAGTGAAAAATATTCTGTATTTCAGTCTTTTCCCTTATTGTGACAGGTATCCCTTTCTGGATTTGTCAGGTATTGCTGTGAGGAAATAAATGATATGACTAGTGTCCCTTATTTTCTATAAGGTGGGGGGGAACCCTCTCTCGCGCGTCAGCAGAGACTGCCGGGTTTGCGGATCTTTTCGGATATCTGAGTCCTCTCATACTATTGTGCTTGGGGTCTTAAAGTTTTTGTTGTTGTTCCCTGACATACTTTTCCTCCTCCTGAGGGAAGGAAGTGGCCCATATGTCAGACCAAGCAGATTAATGATTCTGTGGTCTGCTGACCCTGGAGCTGACTCTTTGTGACTCTCCATGACTCTCCCTCCCCCCAAGTATAGTATAAAGCTTTTGAATTTTGAGGCAGCCATTGTTATAAGGGAAAAAATCAAAATGGTTACTCTGCTTTCCTTTTCCTTTTTTCCAAATCAAATCTGGACCTCTCCTGGTGCCTCCCTCTAGGAGGCTCTTCATCCAAGCCCTTTTTTTCCTCAAGTTTGTTGGGCTTGTTTTTGATCATATCTAGAGGCATTACTATGCGTGAATCTTGTCATTATCACTGATGTTTCTTTCACTATTCTTCTTCGCAGTTGTCCCATTTGCTTTCATTGAGTTGCAGGGGGAGGAGAAGGTATTTATTCTTAGAGTGGGAAAATGGTTTAAAATTACCTGATTTTTTCCCCTAGATGGTACAGCTGCATGCTTGGAAAGAAATGCAGTCTGGCTCCATTGAAGGAGGAGCTTCGGATACAAGGGGTAAGTCTGTGTCAGCAATAAGGGAAACAAACATGGTGTGGGACCCTGAGCTTGGGCAGGGTTGTGAGCAAGCCAGTGGTCATCAGCCTACGGGGAGCGCCTTCGAGAGTCATGAAGTGAAGGCACAAGTGGGGTGGAAAAGGAGCTGTCTGGCTGTCCCAGGGTTGAGGTAGCTTTACATGATGGGCTGGAAAATCCCAGCAGGCGATGAAAAAAAGGGGTTGGTGGGGAGGGGATGGCTCAAATACACTGAGATCTGAAAGAAGTCTTGAAAAGAATGTAAGCCCCTTCACTGGACAGATATAAGAGGGGGTTAAGATCCAGAGGGAGGATTCAGAAAGTTGGGAAGTTTTGTGGCTCCATATATCCTGTTTCACATATTTGGGCAGATGGTATGGATTTGGGACAGTTGGCTCAGCTTACGGTGCTGGGGAACCTTCCGTGACAAAGTGGAAGAAAACTTCAGTTAGAATACCTGTCTGGCGTCTGCCGGACCCGGTCAGTAAACTGTGAAAACAGGAAACACCCTTTCCGTTTTTGGCATGACTGGAGTGGAAACAAAATGCTGTGCTGCTTTGGAAGCAGGAGTTGATTGGTTGTCTGCATTTGATAGTTAAGGAATTGGTTCTGGACACTTTCTTATATGTGGACAGTCGGTTCAGGATGCTAATTTTCATTCTTTAAATTAATTGCAGCAAAGGGCTGTGTGAGTTGACCTGGTGGTCACAGCGCCAGTGAAGGTGGCAGCATTTTGTGGGGCTAGAAATCAGCCCCATAGATTTGTGCGTATTGTTGCTGCTGCTCCTGGCACTGTGCTTCCTTCTAAGCTCACATTTTACAAGGACTGCTTTCCACGTTCCTTCCTCATGGGCTGGGTTGAGATGATAAAGCATAGTTGCCTCTGAGTTGGCGTCATCAGTTCTGTCTCGAGTTTAGGGGAAGGTACCTGCCCTCAGAGCTCCATTTTTAACTCTGTATTTGATCATAATGGTTACTTAGCAAAGATTAAGACACTGCGGATGACGGCACTGTTTTGGCTGGCTTGCTTCATTGTCATTTAATGATATTCGATGTCTCTCTCAGGTCCCCAAAGTCACCCACACTGAATTCTGTCAGGGGCGCACAATGAGATGGGCTTTGGCTTGGAGCTTTTATGATGACGTGACTGTGCCTGTAAGTACTGACCTCTCGCTCCTGCTGCTTAATCTGTGGACACAAGGTGTGGTAGTCGGTCATAGCGTGCTTTAGACGTTCTTACTACTTTTCAGGAGCTTCGGAGCACAGCGCTGTGCTCACTTGTACCCTGGGCACTTCACTGTGGGTTACAGTTGAAATGTTGGCCTCTAAGGCTGCATTGCCCTTTGACCTCTCTTCCCTGCCCAGATTTGTGCAGTGAAGGCCAAGATAACTTATAAATTGAAAAGTCAAGATAGCTCTTAAAGGCAAGTTTTTACCCTGTTAAAATTGTACATTTATAAAATTCCTTTAATGAATGTTCCCTTTTGCCTTTCCTTCTCTTCTGGGGCATTTGTGAACATATGCTGAGGGGTTTCTGGAAGATGCCTAACTTTAGGCTTGGATTCTTAGAGGGCAGGAAGGGCCAGACCCTATTGAAATTTGAAAAGATTTTCCTGGAATTTCAGTTTGTAGGCTTTTTTCTGTCGCTCAGTGAATATCCTCCACCTTAACCCTTAACCATGTGAGGATGGAGCGGGAAAGGAGTTATGGGCAGTCACGTTTCCTTCCTCTGCCTGGAGTTCTTTTCAGAGGCTGAAACACGGACACAGTGAGAGATAGCTACCTCTCTACTAGGGAGGTAAAATATGAGGTTGTGCTCACAGCCGATCTGAGGAGTTGGAATGGGAAGAGGTAAAGGTGTAAAGTGACAGCAATTAGTTTTCTTTTAAGTCTCAGTTTTTCCCTTCCTGTATTTCACATCATTAATCAAAAAATATTTGGTCTGTTGGGTCATAGATTCAGATTAGAAAGGACTCTTGATAAGTTATCTAGCCCAAGCCTCCTTATTGTATAGACAAGGAAACTGAGGCCTAGAGAAGTGACTTGGTTAAGGTCACCTAGATAGAGAGGTGGGATTTGAAACTAGTCCCTCAACACTTAAGTCCAGTTCTCTTTCCAATGTACTGTGCATGCCATTAATTAAGTAATTCGTTGCCTCCCGAAGCACATTTCTACACCCAAACCATCCTTGGTGAGTGCCTCCTCTGTCCCTGATGCTCCACTCAGGGCCAGCCCTTGACTTTTTGTGCCTTGGAGGACGATAGCATCCATGCCCTTCCGCCTGTCGCCTCTCAGTAGGCGTGCACGGGCTGCTGGAGACTTCATACCTCCTCCTTTGTGTCCAGAGCCGGTCCAGGAGGTCCGGTGTGGGAGCGCCTTTTGGATCCAAGGCTGTCGCTGTTCGCTGCCGCACGCAGAAAGGGGAATGGAGCAGCTGGCATTTGTCACTGTGTTACTGGTGGTGTTTTCTGAGTGGGGGTGTTCTGGGGACTCCCCGGCGCTTTGCTCCCCGTCAGGCTGCTGGGCTGGGGGAGGGGGGAGAAGTGTTGAAGCCAAGTTTCCTGCTTCTGTTTGGGCACCTTTGGGCAGATCTTTGAAGGTATTGGAAGGTTGCCCGAATGCACTCTGGGTGATTGCTCTGGGTGATTTATGTAGAGAATTCGTTGGTTGGAAAGGTGGCTTTGGTTGGCCTCCCGCCCTCTGCCAGCAGCCCTGAAGGGTAGTTCTGTCTGTCTAAGACCAGACAGAGACCCCTAAAAACCTTCCTTCTGAAATGGACGGCACAAGGGGCACAAGACTTGCCCCTGGGGAGGTGGGGGTGGCTGGGTAGTAGAGTTGATAGAGCAACTGCCCTGAACTCATGAGGACCTGAGTTCAAATCTGGCTTCTGACTAGCTGTGTGACCCTGGGCAAGTCACTTAACCCCAGTTGTATCCCCTCAAAAAAGAAAGGACTGAGAGGTTGTCTAGTCCGATCCCCTCCCAAAAAAGAAAAAAAGACTTGCCCCCCAAGGGGTTAAAGGTGTTGTTGATACACTGCTTTCTTCCCAGGCCGACCCAACAGCTGCCGTAGAGGCAAACAGCACCTGCTTCCTACATCCGTTGGCACCCCAGCTAGAAAAGCTGATAATTAGCTCTGGCAAAGCCCGTGTTAGCTCAGAGACCAGAGTCTTCCTAGAGGAAGGGAGAGAGAGGGGGGGGAGAGAGAGAGAGAGTGTGTGTGTGTGCGCGTGTGTGTGTGCGTGTGCATGTGTGTGTGTGTGTGCGCGTGTGTGTGTGTGTCTCCTGAAAAATTGGTGAGGTCTCAGCACCCCCAGAGGGCCCTATTTCTGTATCAGACACTGTAGCTGATCTTTCAGAAGTGGGGGCCAGGCTGCTACTCCGCCTTCTCAAGGCTGTTCTGTTTCTGACAATGAAGGAATGCCATTTGCTAAAGGTTTCAGATTTCTCCTGTGCCAGACTACTGGTCATCATCCCCACCCCTCATCCACTTCCCTCCAGTTAATACCAAATTCCCAAGCCTTCCATTAGATGCACTTAACCTGCTCCAGGAAAAGTGGCTGTTTCTTATTCGTAGTAACCCAGCAACAGTTTCTTAGGACTGGTGCTGTGTGTGTGTGTGTGCGTGTGTGCGTGCGTGTATGCGTGCCGTGCTCTTGCCCGAACATACTTGGCCCCTGGGAGTGGGCCAGGTGAACAGGGGACATCATATGGTTTGGGATTTGGTTGTGGTTGTGTTGTCCTTTAGCAGCCTCACCCCCACCCCTGTTGTTTAGAACTACTCACCTCACTTAGCCCAGAATCTGGCAGAGATGGGAAGAGGAAGCCCAGAGAGAGTCACTTAAGCAGAAATATTGGCCTACTTCTTGTTTCCTTTTTTTTTTTCTTAACCATTTTTAGTGTAAGCATGCAAGTTTCTACGGCAACTTCTGTTTTCACTTATTCCAGGCCTACTGACTCATTTCTGTTGATGCTAAACGTTTAAGAAAAATCTGATTTTTACTGCCAAGTCAAGTGGCTTTGCTAAGCCTGTAGATCCTGTTGTCTGGATTTATCTTAGCAACAAAAAGACGGGTCCTGATGTTGATAGAATTTTTGCACAATCATTTCTGATGAGGGAACATATTTTAGCAACTGTTCTTTTCAGAATTCTAACAGGAAGCTTGGTTTCTTCTTTGGCCCATTCCTTTTCTCTAGTCACCCCAAGGGGGAACTACTACATTTCTGCCCCTTTAGGAAGTTTGTCACTTGGAGTTTAAGGAAACCTCCTGCCCCCCAAGGTCTAACTTTGAGGTATGCATAGTCTTATTTGCTTGGAGGATTTTTTTTTTAAGTATGTCTCATAACTTGGTCTCAAAGAGACATCTTTAGGGTTCTTCCTTTAAGCCCAGGGCTCTCCTGTCTAGGAAGGTTGATATTGCCATAAGGTTAGTTGCCCTTGGGAAGCAGGATAGAAGTAATGGTTCCTTCCCCCAGTGAGAGTGGAATGGAGTTATTCTCAACTAGGGAGCGGACCTGGAATAAAGGTATTGGGTTAAAACCCTTAGCACACTGATACCACCCAGTTTCCTTGAGATCTTTCGGAGAAATGAGAAGCTTTCTTGGTCTATACCACAAAGATCATGAGCCACTTGCAAATTCAGGTTGAAAAATCTTAGCGATCAGGGAAAAGGCATGGAAAACCTCTTGTTTTAGAGCTGGGAGGGCCTTTTTTTTTTTTAGCGTGAACTAATTTTTAAAATTTTTTTATTAATTTATTTTGATTTATCAACAATCACTTCCATAAGCTTTTGAGTTTTAAATTTTTCTCCCCCTCCTTTCCCCTCTCCCTCCCCAAGACGGCGTGCAATCTGATACAGGCTCTACATATACATTCCTATTAAACATATTTTCACATTAGTGATGTTGTAAGGAAGAATTAGAATCAATAGGAGGAGCCACCAGAAAGAGGAAACAAAACAAAACGGAAGAAAAAAAAGAGCAATAGTATGCTTTGATCTGCATTCAAACTCCATACTTCATTCTCTGGATAGCATTTTCCATTATGAGACCTTTGGAGATGTCTTAGATCCTTCCATTGCTGAGAAGGGCTAAGTCTGTCAGCGTTAGTCCTTGCATAATGTGGCTGTTACTGTATGCAGTGTTCTCCTGATTCTGCTCACTTCACTCAGCATCAGTCCATACAAGTCTTTCCAGGTTTTTCTGAAGTCTGCCTGCTCATCATTTCTTATAGCACAATAGTATTCCATTACATTCATATACCACAACTTGTTCAGCCATTCCCAGTTGATGGATATGCCCTCAGTTTCCAGTTCTTTGCCAGTACAAAAAGAGCTGCTATAAATATTTTTGTATGCATGGGTCCTTTTCCCATTTAAGTGCTGTTACTGGGTCAACTGTGCCCTTTGGGCATAGTTCCAAATTGCTCTCCCAAATCTTGATGGGAAGGCCTTTTGAGGCTGTTGAGTCCAACCTTGTCATTTGTAGAGGACAAAACTTGGGCTCGGGCACAAGTGACTGGACCTCTAGAGGCAGGATCAGTTAGTGATCCTGCATTTGTGTTTTTAGAGGGCAGAGACAAACTGTACATTTATTAACAAGTTTTCTAAACCTGTAAGTGTTTTCTAAACACTTAAGTGTGTAGCACACTAAAGTGGCATTCTTCAAAAATAATATGCTTTGTCGTCTAAGTTGTCTGACACCGTTGAGTAATTACCCAAACTGCCAACCCTCCCCAAATCTTTGTTCTTCCATCACCAGCCAGTTCCTAGTTTAGCTTTCTTAGAGATCCATGCACAGGAGGTTGCAGTGAATGTAACTAAAGTATTTGGTGAATCTGATTTTTCATAGAGCCATAAGCAACAGTATCCATCCAGGTACCTCGATCTTGTCATTTAGGGGCTGTCTTTGAAAAACCACTCAGTTATCCTAAAGACTGGCAGAGTATGTCAGTTTAGTATAAAAAAAAATTATTTGTGTAATATGTAGTCAGAACAGTAACTAGTTGACTAAACTGAATTTTTCACTTTGATAGTGTCATATAAAGCAAGCATTAAGTTAAAATTACTTGAGTAGGTATGGTCCCTAGGCCATTGGCCCTCCACTGTCCCTGGACATGTTGGCTGGGAGAGCCATTGAGTGAAGACCCTGCTTTCT